ACACACACATGATAATTATATCACATAATTATTATGGGTATAATAAAAATTATAATATATACAGAATTCGCGACTCAAAATATTATAAGAAGAAAGTTTTGAAAAAATTAAATAAAAGAGTTATTGTTTGTAAACTTGTTAGTAATTTTTTAGATAATAAGGAAAAAAATGACTAACTACAGATTACAAAATTATTACTTGTCTATGCGTCATGTATGGTAGTTTTAATGTACTCATTAAACTCACAGATACGACTCGTAAGAGTCACTTATGAATGATGTCGTATTATAATCATGGACAAGCATTCGTTTAAGTGTAGATTGTAATTGGTCATCTATTTAACCCTCATTATCTAAAAAATTTCCGCTTAAAATAAGCACATTATACAAATAACTTTTCACTTATTTACCTTGAGAACTTTCTAGTATTTTGAGTTGCGACTTTGGGACAAGGTATAAAATTATATTTTTATTATTAATAACAAATTTTAGGGAAAAATTAATAAATCCACGTGGATACAACAAATATTTTTATTATGTTACACAATGTTGTAACTTCTAATTTTTTCGTCACTCAGAAGACATTTGTGCTGGGTGAGAATCCATAATCTTATAATGAGAACACGATAATCAGGGTATACATAATTTTGGTTTCCACCGCCAATTTCACGCATTTTTTTTCTTCACGCCCATGTTAAAAAATTTACCATTTATACGAAATTTGAGAGAGTCGACTTACTTTCTTACTTCATCTAAAGGATAATATTATATGTCAAGATTATTAATAACAGTCCTTATAATTGATTAAAAAGATTATATCGCCTATAAAAATTTATATTTTCCGTTCGTTTTTTTCTGCTTTTCAGAATTGTCAAGTTAAAATAGTTTTGCGGATACTAATAATTTCCATTATAATTTGTCTGCCTTATTAATTGTTATTAACTGTAATTATGACAAAAGATGATAAATTAAATATTATTATTAAATTTAAATTAGACGCTGTGATGTCCCAAATAAAAATAACTAGATATTACTGTCAGATGAAATTATTAGTATTTCCATCTCTTTTCATAATATAATAATATATATTGATAATATATATCAGTTTCTTAATCATAAAACAAAATTTAACATGTCTTAAAATAATATCGCCTTTCTTCCAGCTACAGATTCTTTGAATAATAGAGTCAATGTTTTCTTAACAAAAATAAGACATGGAGAGATAAAGGAATTAAAATAAAAAATATCAATTATTTAGTTTTAATATTGTTAAAACTAAATAAAAGTTTTATTGAAATATATAAGATTTTTTATTTTACTCTTCTATTTAATCTTCGCTACTAATAATCTCTATATAGTGGTTTTTATTGTACGTTTATTGTGTACGAAAAGCCATTATAATAGCCGGTATTTATAGTGGTTTCTTATTTAAGATTGTCTTAAGTACAGTCTTAAGATGACAAAACCAATCACAGAATCATATTAATGCCTCAAAATATTTAAGACGATCTTGTGTGATAAGAGCGACCTATGAATACCGGCCAGTGTCTTGTCGAAAAACCTTCAGAGTCTACCAAAGTTTTAATATCATAATTTTTCTTCGCCATATTTCTTATAATTATTGAACTTACATATTATTATTTGTACAGATATGTTAACTTATAGAATATGGTAATTATGCCTTTTGTAATTCTACATGTAGAAAAAAAGACAGTATTCTTAAGAATAAAGCAGCGTATTGTTGCGTTACAATGATTGCTGTATGTCTTACAGCTAGTTCTAACGTTGCGTAAAGATTAATGTGAAAAATTAAGACGTTAAAAAAAGGATTACTACCGAACTTTGTTAAGATAAACTCAACTTGAAATTGATCCAAGTATCCATAGCTGCGAGACAAGGCTTGACAAAGAGAAATAATAAGTAATATACATATATGTATGTAATCACATAAGTCCTCACAATGATATATTTTTTTTACTTTCCATGTATTTTTTGCTCCTGAATTTTTATACATATCTTATACGATCACCGTTTAATCGTCTTAATATTCACACTTTACGTAACACTTATTTATCATCCTTGTATTCTAAAATAATTGGTTACATATTAAAAAAGCTTCCTGATAGAGAGTGTTCTACCTCGGTCTTGTCACATCCCGTCGCTTTTAATTGGCAAACTTAAGATCTCCTAAGTTAGCTAAAATTTCTTGTCCTCGACTGTTCATCATGAATCATGCTACGTAATGCTTTACATAGTATGAATTATCAACGTCACGCAGTTCTATATAAAGTTACACTTGCGATATGTTGATTCGCCATAACTTCGACAATCGCGTCCCGTATGCCGTAACAAAACGTACAGCCGAATGGATTGGTTGTGTTTGTCGAAGACGCTCGATTCAGAACTACTGGTCGCGCACTTGCTTTTAGTTGCTCGCTTACTCTATCCCATTTTGTATAGGCAGTGATCTATGAGATGAAATTAAGATTCATTAGTATCATTAACACATAGTACATTAAATATGTATATATATATATATCAACATGAATAACTACTAAAAACCCTACTGTAACAGGAGATGGGGAAACGTCAATCAATTTTCCCGATTCCGTGGAATTATTTTCAGGAGGCAGAGTCAGAG